ATAGTCAATGATAAAATAAACATTTGGAAAAAATTGTATGTATCCAAAGTTTTTAGAGTGACACTTAAAACAAAATTAAAATATTTAATTGGGTTTTGCATATAAATCTGTTTTTCTTGTTTTCTTGACGCTTTTGAAAACTATTGAGAATTTTTTTACTTTATTCTATCTAAGTATCTACTATAACTAATAGGTTTAGTTTATAACTTGAAAAGATACTGAAAATTAAAGCATTTAATTATTTTAGSTGTCCCAAAATATTACAGTAAATTCAATCCATTCATTTTTATTCTTAGAATCCAAAAGCTGGACAAAGTGGATACGGTGGTTTTTGTCTTGTGGAGCATATCGTAAGGTATGTTATATTTGAATTCAATGATAAATTATTGCATATAAAAAATTATAATCTTAAACCGGTTTACTCGGTTTAGCCTATTGAATTTCTAGTAGGAATGTGTCACTTGGTGTGTCACCACAGGTATAATTTAATATACCTGTTTTTTATTTTTAGGTATAATTTATCTATTCAGTGCCTAAACCTAACTCTAGCATCGATATTTAAAATTTAACAATTAATTTTAGATCTATAAATATATTCGATTATGATCATTATCAGAATAATTATACCGAATATTCGAACATATATTAATGCCATCATAACAAATAATAACATTAAGTTGGGTTATAAATCGTTCTAAAGGCTAAAGCCTAAAACGTAGGTTTTTTTTTTTTATTAAGAAAGACAATTTACAATCTGTACTCAATAATTACAATAAGCAAATAAGATAAAAACAGAATAAAGTAGCATGAGTGACGTGATGAGGAAGAAACCCAATGGTAACACCTCCTTTACTAATTTAATAGGTCTCTAACACGCTACACCATTTTCGCTTTAGTCTGCGTGGTGGGTTTTTTGGGAGGGTGAGGAAGGACATGTGTGATATTAAAGTATTGTGATGAGTGCTTAAATTTTGRTGGAAACGTTTATACATTGTTTTGGCTAGTTCAGTGGTAGTTAATATTTTTAAGTCATTGTGTAAGRTAGAATTTGAAGCGTACCAGGGGGCTTTGGTTACTAACCTTAGCGCTATTGATTGAAAAGCCTGAATTAGCCTGATGTTCGAGGGCTTGGCTGGGCCCCAGATTGCTATTCCATAAGACCAGACTGGTCTTATGATTGRCTTATATATAATAAGTTTGTTTTGGAGTTGAGGAGTGGTCGGAGGAGGTGAAGTCTATTGTTCGCTGATTTTCTTTTTTCTTTTAGGCGGGGGCCCCAGGTAAGTCTTTTATCGAGTGTTATGCGGTTATGCCTAAGTACTTTATTTCAGTTTGGACAGGGATGGGGGCGTTGTTGATGATTAATTTAGGGCATTCACGGGGAGATTGTTTTAACGTGAAAGTGACTTGCACAGATTTGTCAGTATTTATTTTGATTTCCCATTTTTTGGCCCATTCGTCTATTTTATTAGCATGATCCTGGAGTGCAGCTGAAGCTAGGATAGGATTTGAACTAGAGGAAARAATAGCTGTGTCATCGGCGTATGTTGCAAGAAGGGTGTTACAAGATTGAGGAATATCTGCTGTGAATATATTACATAGATCCAGTGGCGGCGCCAGGGGTGGGCCCGGGCCCACCTTAAAAAATCTCTGACCCCCCTGTGGCCCACCCCAAAAATTAAATTTAATCATATTAGAATACTAAAAAATATCTCATGAATAAATCAAGGTTTATTAAAATATGAAAATATTAAGTCATAATAGATGGCGTGAACAACATTTTGAATGAATTGAAAACTATGCACTATGCTTTCAAGCCTCATAAATAACGAGTATTTTCCAGCGGCTGAATACGAAAATAATAAATTATACTTATTAGTTATTAATTATTATTAAATATTAATCAATGTTATTAATATTTTTGTTGAAAATTCCATGAACTACGGGTTTAGATTATTAACCAACTATGATTAAGAAAATACAAGGGAAAACATTTTATTTTTAGATACTTTTAAAATAATATTGTTTTGTCTTGTAAAAAATTTAKATGCAAACATATTATYTAATCATATTCAAGTAAAATTAAGTAAATGTAAGATTGATATAAATAAATGTGTTGCACAGACATATGATGGAGCTAATGTTATGAGAGGTTCAATTAATGGAGTTCAAGCTTTATTTAAAAATAAAGTTCCCCATGCTGTTTATATTCATTGCCATAATCATCGTCTTAAATTAGTTCTCGTAGATGTAGCAAAAAATGTAAATGAAGTAAATTTTTTTTTTAATTGTTTACAASATWTATATAATTTTATATCTGGATCTTCAATTCATTCTAAGTTTATTGAGCTCCAAAAACAAATTTTAAAAATTTCAAAAACTCGGTGGTMATCTTAAATTCATACATGTCGAGCTGTTAAAGCTACTTTGGAAGTTATACTGTTSTTATTATTTAAGATTTCAAATGAAAAAAGTATGCGTTYCTCAGAAGCTACTGGTTTACTTAAAAACATGGATTTTAAATTTATATATTTATTAGTTTTTTTTAATGATTTACTTTCCCAAATTAACTTGTTGACCAAATGTTTACAAGATAAAAATGCTGATATGGCCAAAGCAATTATATTAATTGATTCTCTTAAAGAACACTTTTGTGAAATAAGAAATGATTTAAGTTATCATTCAAAATTATATAGCGAATCCAAATTAATGGCAAATAAATTAAATATAAAACACCCTTCTGCACAAAATAAAGAAAAAAACAGAGTTAAAAAATTAGGTACCCAAACATTTGCAAAAATTTATAGTTGAAGGTAGTTCATTGGAAAATTCAGTATTAAATTCACAAACTGATTTTCGAAAAAACCTTTATCTAATTATTATATATAAAATCAATGCTGAACTAAGTAAAAGATTTTCTAATAACGAAGATTTATTGATGGGAATTAGTGTAATGAACCCAAGAAATAGTAATTTTTTGGATAAAAATCTTATTCATCCATTTGCTTTAGCTTATACCTATGTGCGATATTGATTCTTTAGATTCTGAATTAAACATTATTAGAAAATCAATAAAACAATTTGAATTAAAATACYATTCTATAAAAACTATTTTTCAATTTCATAAATTTTTATTGGATTATCAATTAGCATTTTTGAATTATACAAGTTATGTACTATAGCAATTACAATACCTGTATCCTCAGTGGCATGTGAAAGAACTTTTTCATGTATGAAAAGGATTAAATCATATTTGAGAAATTCTATGCTTCAGCATAATTGCTATAGAAAAACCTGAAGCAAATTCATTAAATATTGAGGATATAATCAATAATTTTGCTGAATGTCATAATAATAGAAGAATTTTATTAAAATAAATTATTTATATTACCTATTATGTATTTTATTGCTATTGGTGTGTTATATAGGTACTTATATAATATATTATCTTATCGTTCTTATWATTTACAATTAATTTTTATTAAGTGAACAAATAATTAATATTAAAAGTTTTAATTGTTTAATTTAAACTTTAAACACAGTTGTTTTTTATTTTATCTTATTATTTGTATTGTTTTTTTTGTATATAATAAAATATATTAATTGAATTGGTATTACAATATAATATAATGTTTATTGTCAGTTTAAAATATTAAAATATTATATTTATCAATATAAAAATTAAAAARTGTTTACATGAATATGTATTTTGTTAGGAAATAAATACTATTAATACATGTTTACAAATCATTGTTTTAGTAAGTTTACACGATGAAGTGTAAAAAAAATTGAAAAATTGGAAGTTGGCCCTCCCCCTCTCCCTCTGCGCAAYTGCCTGTCATCACTATTGTTTATATACATATATATATCTCAAGTCAACAATTTGGCCCTCCCTAAAAAATTTGGGCCCCAGCCTGGCCCACCTGGTATTAAAATTCTGGCGCCGCCATTGTATAGATCAGGGGATAAATCACTACCCTGCGTATTAAACGTACGTTAAATGTTAATCAGTAAACACGTTCTATATAACAAAATATGTGCATTGTTACCTTTGCAACTTACAGTTTACATTAGCTAATTAGAAGTTTAAAGATGTCTTTTTACAGAAACAGGCGTGTATGTTAACCATTAATTAATCGATACCTAAGTTTACCATAATT